TTGCAGAGTCGGCAAAGAGAGAGATATCACGCGGTGGCACATAGGTAGCCAAATACATCCAAAAGGTCGATGCAGAGGCCCCATCTGTCAAATGCAGGCCTGAACTAATAGCTTCAATATTGTTTCGCGGCTGTCCCCAGGTCCCTCCGTGGTTGAAACAACCATCAGTGAAGTAACGACAGGGATGTTGGTGATTGTCTTTGACTCCCTAGCCCTGGCACCCTTGACGTGAGCGGGAGAAAGGGTTGCTGGGTTTGACCCCTGTATTCTCAGCGCATCGAATGCTACATGGCATCTTGAAAGGTCCGCGGCAGCCTAGACATCCTGACAAATGCCATCCAGCCCCGAGCTGTCCAACACCTGGGCCAAGGCCTGTTAGGGCCTACAGAGGTCAAAAGGTGCCTCCGGCCGCCTTTTTAGTTGCCTCGTAGACAATGGCATGTTGCATAGGAAGCTTCTCAGACTGCCGCAAGGTGAGCGATGACCCGCCAAGATGATGTCGAAGGAGCTTACAAACATTCCTAAAAATACACACAGGCCCAGCGTGGTGCTGATACATCAGTCTGGGCTTCTGAATTCCACGCCGGCGGAACGATTGCGCTGGCCAGCCCTGGAGGAAGGGAAAGTTGCTGAACGCGGATCACGGCGGATGGTGGGTGTGCGCGCCGCCAGACTCTCGTTTATCGCACTCGCTTTCGCGGACCAGAGGCCTGCCTGGCGTGGTTCCGACTGTTTCCGGTTCGTCATGGTGTATCAATTGCGGCGGCAGAATTTCGCCCTTTGACTTTTTTTTCAATCTGGCAGTGAGCCATCGGGAGATTTCGCAGGCGCACTGGGCATCTCATGACGTTCCGCGGGCGGACTGTGCAGGAGTGAAAAAGGGCAGACAGCTTTCAGGCATACATTTACCACGTACGGTGCTACCATTGTTTTCTTCGCCAACCAAATGCAAGACAGGGAAGAAACCATTCGAGCCCCCCCCCGGCGGGTTGAAAGGCTCGCACTACGCACCGAATGCCATGTTCCGTCATGGAACGCGTCACTGGTTTCACACTGAGCACATGGTCTAAAAATGTAAGAATCTCACCCACAAGGAAATTGTGCGGATCAACTGTCTGGCCTGGTGTGAGTCAACCCCGTGTCCGGCGGTTGCTGGCACGCACGACTTTGGTTCTTGCGACATAGAACGAGGTGTGAGCTGCGGCGGCTGCGCATCAACCCGACATAAACAGGGCCAGTGGGCAAAAAATAATCGAATCTGACAGTCTACTGCGAGATGGCGCTGGGTAGTTGGCTGGCCAGGCCGACAAACTCGATTGGCCCGATGGTATCCGTAGGAGGAAGGGAGGTCGAGGCAGATGCACCACGCGACGCTTGTTGATCGCCTAGAGCTTTGATTGACTTGCGTCGCATCACATCGCCATGGTTGTGGCATTGGGCACCGCTACACATTTCAGCACATCAGAAGCAGATCTTGCCTCCGTGACGGTGTCACAACTTCAGTGGCGTCTACCCAAGCTTTTTTGATACAGCTCCACCCAGCATGGTGTCCACGGGTTCTGCACACCAGGACGCGAGGCTGTAGTTTTTTTTTAAACACATGTTTTTTCCGACGACAAGATTTGCCCACCTCATCTGGTGCGGACACTCTGACACGTCGCCCTCGATGCATGCCAGGACAATCCAACGACCTGGTCGCTGGTTTAGCCAGGAGCCCCAGGCATTCAGTCCCCTCCTCCCATGCACATATGCATGCAGACTCCTCCAGAGACCCCAAAACTCTGTATGCCCGCAGTCAAAGAAAGCATATCCAACGGGCCACTCGTCGCGACTTTCTCTCGACGTAGCCGAGACGACGTCAAAGTTCAAGTCCAAGCTCTGGCTTATTCGGGTCTAGGCCCAGCGGGGAAAGTGGGGAACGGCCCGCTCCCGCAATCTTGAATCCATTCACCGTTGTCGCTTCAATTCCTTTGTTGGCCCATGTCCAGTCTACACGAGAGATGTTGGCCCAAACCCACGACGACCAACGTGCCGCAGGATCCGGCAGACCGCATGTGTCGGACGCAGCGGGCTTCGTCGAGCAAACAAAACAAAAAAGACCGGCAATCATCCGCGCTGGCCTCCTCGCTTCCCGGACGAATGAGTGCCCGCGGTCAGTGCGCGCGGCACATGGCCGCGACGGCGATTCATCACCAAGGCACAGGCAAGGCCAGCATACCACGGGCGAGCAAATGCCCACCAGACAGTGCACGCCGCTTCCGCGAGGCCAAGATCCCGGGAGACCCGTCGGATCAGCTTCCGCCCGCACATAGGCACACACGTCGTGGACAACAGCCGTCCGCGTCTTCTTGCCATGCCCAGCGGCTGAATCTCTCGCCCGTGGAGCCAAGACAGCTGCTCGTGGCCGGAGGCTAGCAGCAGTGCGTCTATGCGTCTACTTGCTCGAATCGCACCGGGTGCTGTTTCGCGCGGGATGTAATTGGCTCGCCGGCGGCTTCAGGTCACGAGCCTTGAGATAAAAAGGAAACAAGAAAAAAAGGCGCACGGAACCCAGATGGCATGACGATCGGCAGCTCTGGCCTAGCAGTATGCCGTATCGTAGTCGACGCCCTAATCTGGCGTTACATCATGAGACATGGATGCGCACGAGCTGCCCATGCAGGGTTCTTCTGCAGAGCCGTTGTTCTGCGTCCGTCGTGTGTTTGGTCTTGAGTCAACGCTTGACGGGCAGGGATTTGGAAGCTTCAGCGACTGTTCTTTCTCAGGGCTAGACTTCATCGTCTTCCGGTTGGCCCAGCTTTTCTTTGGCATACCTTTGATCAAATGGATGCCAAAAATAGGCTGTTTTTGTGCCGAGAAGAAGCCACTAGGCCGTGTTGGTGACGGGAATATCTCGACATGGACTGCCGTGGCATTTATACAATGCTGCGTGACGTGGTCTTATTATTGTTGTTTTAATTTTTTTAAAAGGAAACATCTAGCATAATCGTTGCCGCAAATAATTCTGATCTGCCCGTACATCACGATAACCACCATGGCCTTTTCTAGCGGCTTCCGAGGCCTAGGACAATAAAAAGATGCGTGACCATCGGTTCCACCCCTGCAGGGCCCGCTGTCAAGCTCTGCCCTAGCCAGGGCAGAATCGTTTGGCCATCCCTGGCCAACTTTGAATTCTCGATCGGGAAGAGTTGCGACTGGCAGGGGCTGGGCGGGCAGGGATCGAGCCAATCCCTGCCGGCTCTAACGAACAGCCCCTGTCCTGGTGCCGGTGACAGGTGGTTACAATAGTACTTGACATATTTCTGTGTCTTTCTGCCCCCCTCCCGTCGATTTTCCCCGGGGCGTACCACTTGGTAAACATGTGGGTGTTTCGTCGTCATTCCGCAGACCCCCTAGCTCCCGTTGTTGCGTCCAAGCAAAATCACCTGGCCTTGATAGAGCAACACCACAGCACGATGCTGACGATGGGACACATTTCCTACAGTTGGTCCGGACAATGTTGTTGGGCCACGCCCGTGTGTAGCCAGCAGTGTCAGAAGGTCCTATAGTTCCCATGTCTTGTGCGTCTCGTCTCTATTGTTGGCAACTTGGCAGTGGCAGTTCCTCGCCGGCACATCCCTGACATTCGACGAGAACGAGAAGAAGAAGAAGCAATTCTCCCCATGGTTAGGCGTAGGCGTGAATAAAACCGCGCAGCGCAGACAATCCATTTTTTTCCTTATCAGCTAGTCACATCCGTCATTGTCTTCGGGCCGTATTGTGGAAAGTCTCGAGGCCGGTCTATAAAATCCGTGCCGCCGCCCCCCGTGGTCCCAGGACCTCATCAGTATTCCCATCTCCCAGTGCCATATACACCTGTTTGGCATTCATCTCAACCCCTCTCGTTCAGAAATCCACCCTTGATTATACCATACTTTATCATGTCTAATCAGTCCACGTCCTCGTTGGCCGTTGAAGCAGGCAGCTCTGCTGACACCCCACGCTCGTGTACGCAACCACCACATGCGTCGGGACGAAGCACCTCGACAGGGTAAGTGCCAACAAGACGCAATCGTTTACAAACCCCGGCCAAGACGTGGTCTGTTTACTAAAATCGCTGCAGGTCACCTCCTACGCTTCAAGGAAGGCTTCAGCAGCTGCCGTCTTCCCCGCAAACAATGCTGTGCCAGTACGTGTACGAGACAGGCGCGAGTCGGGTACCTGTCACGGAGCGGCTTCAGCAGTAGAGAATCGTCAAGTTAGATTAGGTTTCATGTTTGTTCTTGCAAGATAGATCTGTTAGTTCGAAAAAGGAAAAAAGACTTCAACTGCTCCCCATATATTTGGCCCTTTTGCCGTGATTCAAGTTCACTGTGGAGTTTTCCAACCAATGGCCCTCAGGGGCGGGCTTTGTTCTTATTCCCGAAGTACATGTCTTCTTCCTGGCCGTCTCCCGGACTCGAGGGGGCAGAGTTGGGGCCAGCCAACCTAGGCAAATCTCCCGAGGCGGACCTCACCGACATTACTCGCAAAGCCGCAGCTCTGGGGCCCATGCCAAGTCAGGTCGAGCTGGATTCTTCACATCCAGGACTTGTGTGTGATATGACAACTTGATCTTGTAGGGGTTGGTCTTGACTAGCTTATATACAACCCCTGTCAAGTGTGACTCGTCACACTCACGCTCACATGCAGCACGAGGTGCAACGTATGTAACCGAGACGAGGTGCCTCTGTCACAGTCTACGCTCCAATATTTTACAATATACTACCATGTATCACAAAATATCACAATATACAACAGTACACCGTGATATAATACAATATATTAGTCTACACTTCTTGATAAATAAGTATATACAAGTATACTCTGCGATACACTGCACAAGTACACCATCCCCCCAGCTCGCTGACATGCCGCAAATGTACTTTTTGTCGCACCTTTATCTCAGTGTGACATGTCCAAGAGTGGGGGAAAGCCTCGTCCCTGGAAGCCACGAAATTACTACACAGGTTACACCACAGTCACAAAGTCCGGTGCCTCTCGCTTGTGTAGCAGCAGCCGCCATCAACTTGTCGATCCACGGCCCGGAACAGAAATTCATCCTCCGGCTCGGCACTCGCCCAAGCCCACATCTGCTCCAGGCCCGGCTTGGACTTTGCTAGCACAAACTTTGCAAACTCAAATTGACACGTCTGCTGCCCAAAGTCCACCTCCATATCCTCCCGGTGAAATACGACGCCGGCTCTGCGGACAATCGCCAAGTAGTCGTCCTTGTCGTTGCCGCATCCAAAAGGCGCAACGTGACCGGCGTACTTGAGGAGAAGAGTGTTGAGAATGATTCTTGACATGCGGCCGTTTCCGTCCGCGAACGGATGAATCATGACGAACTGGTGGTGGTAGCGCGCAGCGAGTGTATACGGGTCACGCTGCCCAGACGCCTCGGCTTGCGTGATATCGTGGTTTAGGTGCTCGACCATTGCCGTCATATAGCGTGGCACGGCCGCCGCTCGCATGCAAAGACTTGTCTTCTTCGTCTTCTTGTCCCCGGGGCTGCTGTAACAAACCGCCACTTCATGGGTGCGATACTTTCCCGGCACAACGTCGTCGTCGATCCCCTCGTAGAGGATCCTGTGTGTCTGTAGAATAAGCTCTTCGGACCAGGCCTCGTTGTTGAGAATGACGTGGTCAATCATGAAACGAAGGGCGTTGGCGTGGCCAATGACTTCTCTGCGGGACCGAACAACGTTGGCCATGTCGCTCTTTCGATGTGTTTCGGCAAGGTTCTCAAGGTGCTCTCGGTAGGCCGGGTCCTTCTTGTCGATATACGCATCTACCGGCCTACCGCGAAAGATGTCCTGGCAAAGTCGCGTGGTGATTCCAAGGGTAGAGCCTGCCGTCTCAATGACGTTGGAGCCGTAGATGAGAGTGATGAGAGACTTTTCGGCCCAGGCACCAGCAAACGCGGCGATGCCGCTACTCTGTGACTTTTTGTGTGCCTCGGCCATGATGGTGGCCATGTCTACTGGGAGCTGCAGCTTGGCCTCTTCATCTCGAAGGTTGTTGCCAAGGCGAAGGCGGTGCCAAGAAGGCCAACTCTTGACGAAAGCGTTTACGAGACTCGCGACCAAGGGGTCCATTTTGTCGGAGAGGACGAAGGAGAAATATATTGGTGTGGGGAAGCCGATATATCGTACGTCGAGACCGAGTACATGTACGCCAGCATTGTCCGCTTGCCTTGCTGCGTATTTTATTACTGAGGCGCAAATATTTGGGGGTTTGGAACCTTTATACAGACGCCCACTCCTCAAAGCTTCCATAGTCAGCATTAGAGTTGGCTTAGGAACCACTTTGACGCAAGTGTTAGACTTTGTCTTATCTTGCTATACTTTCTATGTACCAACGCTAAGCCCTTGGCGCGATTAAGAACTGACGCATTTTGTTTTAGCGTCTCTTGTGAGTGATGTCCAGGATGAGATTGTATATCTGTAGCGAGTTTCTTGGCAGGCCTGTCTCATTTGGTATCGACTCTGACTTGTGACTAGTCCAGAGGAATAGAGCAAGCTTGTCTGCTTTAGCTTCGGTGCTTTTTAGGACTGATACTAACTGCATTTTCTAGAGGGCATGACTATGACTGTGCCTTCCAGCCTCCCGGGACATCTATGGAGGCATGACTCATGTACGCGATTTCCAGTTTTGGGAGAAGGCAGAGACGACCATGATTTCTGATACGAACAGCGGTGAGATAGATGCGCTTTGGTCTTCCAAGCGTCCTCGTGGCTCTTCTGCTACGGCCAGGCCTGTGTCATACCCAGAGGTAGCCCCATTCAAAGACTCTCGGTCTCTGGAAGGTGAATTCGACATTTTGGAGATTGCTAAGATGGGCTGGATGTTGTCAGTCGACCTCCGTGGTCTCGAGCTGTTTGTTAGTCAGTCTGATTAATCCCCGCTTCTGCGATCTCGCCGCTTCGGCTGGCCAGGAATTGGGTGGTTCTCTTTTCAATTACAGCTTACCCGTGAGCAAATTTCACAGGCAAAAGGGAGCTAAATATCGCGAACTTGATGATACTGAAGTTTGTGACGATGCCCCGAAAACCCCCCAAATTGGACGTGCCTTTTTGTAGCTGATCAGACCCCTCGCCTCTCCATCACTAGGAATGCCTCGCATGCAAACTCGTAATGCATGCCACTGTATCTGTACTACTTGTATTTAGCAGGCTGCGCTCCTGGAATGAGTGGGATATGACGTTGTAAAAGACCCGTTATGCGAATCTGTTCAAGCCTGGCGATGAAGCAACCCTTGTCGTTGTAGGCCAGCTCTAAAATTATGTGGCATTGAGAATACTTCCCATGGGATACGCCATTTTATGAACCTATGAGTCAATTACGGCGAATGTTTGTCCCCTGTAGTGTGAGGCAAAAATGTTTAAACAGATCAGGTACTTGGCTATCAAGCTCTATACTATAATATACTACAGTATATTGGAATATACTTTTTAACAGGCAAACATGTTTTGCTGCAGGTTATATTACCCATGCTCAAAGACCAAGGCATAGATAGAAATACACAAGAGTGAAAGGGATAAGTCGGGGAATGAGGGTGAAGTGAGTTGGGTAGAGTCTTTTGTAAACAAAGGTGTCGACGTCTGTTCTTAATAAACACCCATTATATGGATCGGATTTCGACTCGTCTGGCATTCGTGACATACCATTGCAATCTTCATGATCTTGGTCGAGTTCGGCCGGTGGATGTACTCTGCGTTCGGTTCTTGCACATTCACCCACCGGGATACCCTTCCCGTGTACCTCGGAAAAGTTAGCCGTTGGATCGATAATGCCCCTATAATCTGTGCAAATTTTCAGAAGGTACGGGAGCCGTCTACCAATGATCTTGTCTCCTTGAGGCCGACGATAGTGGCTACTATTTTCTTCTCCGGCATGGAGCATCTTCGTTTCGCATCCCACGACGTCTGTGACATGCACATAATGATCCTCACTTGAGAGAAATGTGCGTACGTAGGTCCGTATCACAAAAGAACGTTAGGCGCGCCATCTTCGCCCAGGAACATGTGCAGATTTTGCCAGGCTGGGCCTTGACTCGGCTAACCGAATTGGACCGAGGGATAGTTAGCTATTGTCCTCTTCAGGTTTTCCAGTGGTTGCCCTTGAATCAAGCAAGAGAGGACGCTCAGTAGCCCCGGCGCAAGTACTCTGCGGCCCGTACATGAATTGTCACGGGAATGACTGCGCCGTGCATATAAAACAGCAGCGGCGCACCACTTTCTAGGTTTCCAACCGTGCCTGTTCGTACGGTCGAATTTGCCGTCAGTGTGCAAGTACACGTGTGCTATGCACCCTCAGTATATGAAATACTCCAGGCTCGGCCTCGGATTAATAAGGCTCGTCAGCTGCTCGTTCCTAACCAGGGCCGCGGCCATGCCTAGTCAAGGTCTGCTGGTTCCGCTTAGCACACGTAACCATGAAAGTAGCGATCCGAGGCCGTCCCTATGCCCAGAGTCACCCCGGGCCACTACCTCTTGGGCCACAGAGCATCATATTTGGGTCATAAGAGATCATCATGGCTGTTACCGGGAATGGTGGTTATTCCCGAGAATTTCCCATCAGACCAAGTTGCTCTGTAAAGTCTCGACAAGATCTCTAGTGTTTGATCCAAAGCATCCTCGGCTACGTGTTCGTCGACGACTGGCCAACTTATCGCCTGTTTGCCCTGTCACCGCAGAGGGTGATGAGCTGCTTCTCACCTGTTGGAAGTCGGGCCTTCTCCAGGTCCTTCATGTCTTGCGCAAGTGCCTTTACCATGAGCAAAAGCTCGTGATAGTAATTAGCTTCCGATTCTTCTTGTTTGAAGACACGGTCAAAGCTTGACAACATCGTAGTCAGCAGTCAGCAGTACTGGCTTAGCCTCTCTCTGGCCTCGTGACTTCGTCTCGAAAAAAAGGTGTCGTGAATACGGCAGCAGGTCACAGGGGAGTCATGCACTGGCGACGACACCAAAGATTTCGTGACAGCGAGATAAAGGCGTTTACCACGTAGAAGGTGGTGCGAGAATGAAATTTGCAAAAGTGATGCTGTCGTAGTCATAAGCGCATAACAGTATACTCACGGAGAGTATACCGTCTCGGTTCATGTTAGACGCGTAGACATATGCAAGCGTGATCTTGGCCATCAAGACCCCTCAGCGACCCTGCAGGCAGCCATGGTCATCCCTACAACGACATGATATCTCTGAAGATTGTGTTGTCGCTGCCATCATCAGAATGAGCCTACCAAGATGCAGGGATGCGTGGATGTAGTGCCCGACACGCGATGGGGTCTTTCTCACCACGATTTCACATATGACTTTCGTGACAGTTGCCCTGGCTCTCCTTCACCCCTCCTGTTCTAGGATGAAAAGGCGCACGGACGCGACGAATAGCTTTGGTCCATATCTGCGAGATACAGACTGTGGTGTGTCCCAAAGGGTTGGCAACATCTTCTCCGCAAGCAGTCCATATTTGTCCTACTCTGTGTCCTATTGACCCGAACAACTTGGAAACAGGCGGGCTGCAGTCGGGGTATCGACTTCTCCAGTTCCAAGGGAACTTATTAGCAACCGGAACGGCCGCATTGATGGATCCTAGCAATAGTCATCCCGAGCATAGCTGCCAGAAAATGAGGTGTTAGCGATTCGATCCTGTCACAAACTTGAGTTACAACAGGGTCCGTGTAAGAACTATTTGTCGCTGCAAAGGAACTTGATTCGCATTGTACGACATCGATGTTTAGTATTTAAGATCCTTCCTCGTTCGTCAGCAGGCTTCCGCCGCCGCGTGCAGATGGCTGACTTGTTCATTGGGCGGAAGTGACGCTGTTGCAGGGAACTCCTCTGCTGTATGAAAGGAAATACTCGTTTCAAGTGATGTGTGCCAATTGTTTGGCTCTAGCCCTCATTCGCTTTTTCGTGTTCCGGAGACTTGGAGTTTCAAAGTATATCCAAGCAGAGTGACGCATCCGGCTGGGCGCTGTGACAGTTTTGCCTCATGGGAGGGAGTCCATGAGACGGATGAATGGAAAGGTAACCCCCAAGGAAAGGGGTTGAGAGCAAACAAGGAGACCCTGGGGGATTGGGAGAGCGATCGGGGACGTTTTTCTTGGAGATGAACGTAGCAACGCAACAAAGCACACACCATTATACATTGGGCGCACAGTTTTCTCGTTTTTGTCCTACAAATTTTGAAGTTGATTGGGATTTATCGGCGAAACGGCCAGTGCTTATACCATTTCGCTTGGCGCGTGTAAGTGGCTGAAACACATGCTGCGTGCCAACTTCTCTTTCCACCATGACCGTCAAGTATTCACAGATGACGGCATGTACTGGTTAGAGTCTGGGGTGACCCCCGTTCTCAAATTGTTTCGCCTGAATGCACGCTCCGGCCAGTTGTTGGTGGGCAGACATGACGCATCTGGCATCAGTTCATTATTCCGCGGGCGCTATTGACAGAAAGGAGGGGCATGCGACGATAATTTTCGCCCATGCACAACCGGATATTGCCGGCCAAAAGCTGGGCCGTCTAGCGAACAAAGGTAGTAGTATGTATAGAACAGCAGGCGAATATCGTCAATAGCCCCCTCCCCCCCGGCCTGTCGACAGTCCAAGACATGCATCTCCTAGGATTTGGACGTCAAGGGCTGACGAATCGACAAGCTGTTCGGACAAGCTGGGCACGCCTGAACCATGGAGGTCCCAAGGGAGCTGATTGGAAAGGGAAACGAGCTGAACAAAAAATTGACACAAACCTCGGTGAACAGGGAGGATTCCTCTGGGAGAGGCGACGGCTCGTTCATTTTTCCTCGCGCATTACTATGCTTTGGGGCCTTGTTATGCTTCGTCTCGGTGAAAGGAATCGGAAACTCGTCGCGTGAGTGGGTTTTCCAGGTATGGCCATCAGGTTTTGCTTCCCATGTTTCCCGAGTTCGCGTCTTATGAGATATGTTAGGTACCTAGGTATGCTTCCCCAGCTGCATATTTCTGCATCCTGGACGGGCCGTTCAATGTTGCACTGCTGTACTGTTGTAATGGGCATCTACACCACAAATGCAAGCTGTGCTACCAACAGGTGACTGCAGGATTCACAGGCGC